GTCAAGCAGTGGTCTGAGGTGCTGGCACACCCAGCCTGGTTTTTATTACAGTAAAACAGGAAGAAAGGTAGCGCCAAAATAAAACGAAAAAATAAATAAAATAAATAAATAAATCAAATAAAATGAGTCCCAATATATGTTGGAGGGTAGAAGTGTCTGTTCCACAATTTCCACTGGTAAAGTGTTTCCTCTGTCTGTGATACTTCAGATCGTCTCGTGATATGGAAAACACAAAGGGAAAGGACCAATCGTGCAGAATGTATAAAATGTGTAGATATAAAATAAGAAGATGAATTACACTCACATTATCATGAGCTATGACCAGCTCAGGGGTAATGGGTTTTCAGCAGAATAATCCCTGCTTGTAGGATATAACGAATGCTTGTCCTCTTGGAGTATGACGGTGTCCAACTCTCAGGAAAAGGAAAAATAGGAACAACCAATAGTGCTCTCTGATAATATAATGTGGTATAAAAATAATAAAAAAAAATAGGAAATATACTCACAAATAGAGTGCAGATATCACTGCACTTAGAATGTCGCGTGGGCGGTATAATCCCCACCTCAGGATATATATAAAATGCCAGGAAATAGGTAGTAAAAAAAGGTTATGTGTAAAAATAATAAAATAATAATATAGATGGCACAAGAATATAGCCAAACTTAATTTATTATTTAAAATACACAATAAAAACCATTAACGCGTTTCACCACTAGGGTTTTATCAAAATGGTATAACATGAGAACCTGGCAAGAATAAAGTATATATAGGGACACTAGTACTTTAAAAATTGCGCCAAAAACAGCATCAATTAGCTTTAACCAATCAGAATCAAGCATAATGTTCATGGATAACAAAACTTTGAGAAGCACATAAAACAGAGATTGTAATGAGTAAGAATGAAAATATGTGTATCACAATCATATTATGCATTATACATATGAAAAACGAAGCTTTCAGTTGGAATTAAATATTGTAGTAGCGCGTCACGTGACCCGCGTAGCACTATGGGAAATGTAGTGCGCGGGTCACGTGATCGCACACAGACATTCATATTAGCCGTCCCAGCAATGGGCGGTGTAAACGTCTTGGAGGCGGGTGCGTGTGACGTCACGTGACCCGCGGCATACACAAGCAGTGTAGTGCACGGGTCACGTGATCGGCGCTTTGGCGCCTGGGAAATGTAGTTAGATGGGAAAACGAGCAGAATATGGAAAATATACTGCATATACTTAGAATAACGATCATATTAAAACACAATCATAATGTACATAAGACAGGCAAGTAAATAAAAGAAAAACCACTGATAAGAGACATACAAAAGGGTATCAGCATAAATAATCCTCATATAATAATGAGTTAATATAATAGCAGCATATTTATAAGCACATATATAAGTAAAAAATATATTTAAAAAATATATAAAATATATATCTCAAGGGATAACAAGAAATACATACATGTTTTAGTGATAACATGTATATATATATTATAATTAAAATATCTATAGTGTGGTCAGATTGGGGGTATCCTAGACTATAATGCCGTAGGTAACAACTATGAATAGGATAGCCCCAAAGTGACCACAATAAGGAAGATAAAGATAAAGTGAATAAAATCATAAGAAGTTAAATAAATCAAAATCCACATTTAAGCCTTGGGGGGCTAACGTCTGTAGATTAAATACCCACTCCATCTCATTTTTACCTAAAATATTTTTTATATTGCCACCTCTCTTGTATTTCTTGTTATCCCTTGAGATATATATTTTATATATTTTTTAAATATATTTTTTACTTATATATGTGCTTATAAATATGCTGCTATTATATTAACTCATTATTATATGAGGATTATTTATGCTGATACCCTTTTGTATGTCTCTTATCAGTGGTTTTTCTTTTATTTACTTGCCTGTCTTATGTACATTATGATTGTGTTTTAATATGATCGTTATTCTAAGTATATGCAGTATATTTTCCATATTCTGCTCGTTTTCCCATCTAACTACATTTCCCAGGCGCCAAAGCGCCGATCACGTGACCCGTGCACTACACTGCTTGTGTATGCCGCGGGTCACGTGACGTCACACGCACCCGCCTCCAAGACGTTTACACCGCCCATTGCTGGGACGGCTAATATGAATGTCTGTGTGCGATCACGTGACCCGCGCACTACATTTCCCATAGTGCTACGCGGGTCACGTGACGCGCTACTACAATATTTAATTCCAACTGAAAGCTTCGTTTTTCATATGTATAATGCATAATATGATTGTGATACACATATTTTCATTCTTACTCATTACAATCTCTGTTTTATGTGCTTCTCAAAGTTTTGTTATCCATGAACATTATGCTTGATTCTGATTGGTTAAAGCTAATTGATGCTGTTTTTGGCGCAATTTTTAAAGTACTAGTGTCCCTATATATACTTTATTCTTGCCAGGTTCTCATGTTATACCATTTTGATAAAACCCTAGTGGTGAAACGCGTTAATGGTTTTTATTGTGTATTTTAAATAATAAATTAAGTTTGGCTATATTCTTGTGCCATCTATATTATTATTTTATTATTTTTACACATAACCTTTTTTTACTACCTATTTCCTGGCATTTTATATATATCCTGAGGTGGGGATTATACCGCCCACGCGACATTCTAAGTGCAGTGATATCTGCACTCTATTTGTGAGTATATTTCCTATTTTTTTTTATTATTTTTATACCACATTATATTATCAGAGAGCACTATTGGTTGTTCCTATTTTTCCTTTTCCTGAGAGTTGGACACCGTCATACTCCAAGAGGACAAGCATTCGTTATATCCTACAAGCAGGGATTATTCTGCTGAAAACCCATTACCCCTGAGCTGGTCATAGCTCATGATAATGTGAGTGTAATTCATCTTCTTATTTTATATCTACA